ATATATATATATATATATATATATGCCCAACAATTCTGAAAAACCCTCAATGGAGCGTTAGGCGTGGGTGGACAAGTAAACAAAATGCACATCCCTTGTTCCTCTTTGATCATTTGAGAAGCAGCGGAGGCTGTTTTGTCGAGTAAAAGATTGTATGGTAGTGTACATTAAAAGTTAGTTTTTCAAAGTCCTTGACTTTGTCGATACACTACAGAGGTAGAAGATCGCTGTGGTGGTGTATGGCATGCACAGTGCAAACAGTGTGTGAAATATCTTCACCGCTTATGTTTCCTAAAATATTTCCTCTTACCTCTTCACAACCTTTGTTGGCTTACAAGACGGATTTCAAATTGTGGCTCAGTAGCTTGTGATCAGAAGAGGACTGTTCGGCTTAATCTTATTAGAACGCCCACCACTGTAGGAGATATCCAGTGGAACAAACTGATGGAGTTTGTTCCATCAGCCTCTTCGACTGACCAGTAAAAACTTTATCGAATTTTTCTACTAATCCGATGATGAGGTACTTCTGATCTAGATCTTTATTGTTTTCCATTCTTGAGTAACGGCAAAGCTTGGGACCATTTTTAAATCGACTCCGGAGATCTTCACTTGAACTCGGCCCAAGAATGCAACTCGCTGGCGAACAGAACCATCTTCTTTTAGCAGGCTTTATCTAGGAAACTGAAATCCACTGTAAAAAAAAAACGGAAGGACTCGGTACCACTCAGAGAATGAGAATTTATTAACCTATTTTTGGTGGCACTTGGCACCCCTACAGTAATTTGCACATTTCTACATTTATATGCTACAACCAACGCAGTTGGTCATTGTGCCATCCCCACCTCAGGGTCCCCAATTTTTGTTCTCAAAGAAGGTGACAAATTCCAAAAATATCAGTCGATCCTGTTCTTAGAGGAAGTGCCAATTTGGCTTTTATTGTGATACGCTTCGAGACAGCTAAGTTAGCCCCTCATGAATTGGGAACTACCCTTTTTGGTGAAGCCTGTTAGCAGTAGTTCTTCAAGCAGGTGTCTGAATAAGGACCAGTCACCTCTGCTGATAACAAATTATCTGTAAGGGAGCAACCCTCAGGTTTTCCTGTGTGTGTTCAGGTTTCCAAAACCCCCTAAACTCTCTGCTGTGCTGGTTTTCCTTAGTAAAACACATGATACGATCATCGCCTGATGAAAATTAAAAACCGAACGTAACATCTACACGCAAGTTTTTTAATGGATATTCCACCTGATACATCAGCTAATTAAACGCAAACATGGAGACCGTTATCAAACAATACAAAAACTTACGAACCATCCACACTATATTATAGGTATGCGGAAACTAATCGTTGGAGAACATTCGCCATGAAACATTAGACTTCTGCGCATGTGAATGAAATACTGTGAGACCGTCTGATGATAAAACGGACGCGGACAGTGTTTGGGTATCAGTGAACCACGATAGACAGTTTGTGGCATTAGAGAAAATCCGAAACATGAATGATAGTAACCAGACAACTTCACTCCGTGTGCCAACATTTATCGAGTGCTCATCTAAGAAACTTGCGAAATTGCTTCCATCTGATCAGTTTTATTAGTGGACTAAGAGAAATCCACGGGCTTCAGAATTGTAGTATTTTTATTTCATCAGTGTAACAAAACCACCAAAACATTTTCGGTTAGCAGCAAAAAGGAATGATAAATTGGAAGTGGCCAACCAGGTTTTGAACCGAGCACACTTGATTCCACACCCGAACCAAACTAACGGCCAAGTTCAAATTTACATCGCATGCATTAGCCCCTTCGGTTTTGACTGTCCAGATTTGCCGGACTAATCTCCGAATTTGAGTTGACAGTGCATAGCACACTCCGGAACGATGTTTTACAATCGTCGCTTTCATTTGACTAATGTGTATTCTAAAGAAAACTGGGTGGCAGATGGAGTGAACTTCTGTTTTTCAGCTGCCAGGCCAGCTGCTGTTCAGTTTGTGTGACTGTGCTGAAGAGGGGAGCCTTCGGAGAAAAGTTCGCATAGGCTGCTCTGTGGCTTCTGTTTTGGAAGAATCAGTAGTTGCCGCTCTGGGGCGATTTAATTCTGTGTCCATTAGAACGCAGATACTCCGACCTGTGCGGGTTTTTGTTACCCATCCCCACTTACTCAGTGTGGATATAACCCAGAACAGGTACAAATGGGATGACCAGAAACTCAGTGAACTAACTTGCGAATCAAGGGAGTTTCCTCTTTGCAGTCAACATGAAAACATACAGGAAGACTCAAACTCGAGTTGTGTCAAAGCTGAAGTTTGAACAGCCAGCTTCCCTGAATTAGGTTAAATTCAGTCAGCACTTCCGTAGTCTCCAGATAACTTCAGTGACGGTGCAAAACCCGTTACCACAACCCATCAAATGAACGAATGCTTTTCCGTTTCTGGAATAAGCTATAAACAAATTATTAGGACGAGGACTCCCAGTAATATTCAATGCACATTTGGAACACCAAATCTGGATTCTCAGTATGGTTATCCTTGATTTCACCTATTCCGCCAGGCTGACTGAAGTGAGTACAAAGAGGTTACTTTTTTGGATGTGGCGCATAGGACAGATGAAACAGGAAATGCTGCACCTAATTCAAAAGCCATTCACCTTGTTAAACAAACGACAGTGTTTCAGCTGAACCCTCGTATTTATACTTTCCGACTCCAATGGAGTATCATATAAATACCGAAAGTTGGCTTAAACTAGTAGCCTAAATAAAAAATGCATTTGTGCGTAGTTATTTGTTATGCGATTTATTCTAATGCGCAATATATTATTTCGTGATATTCAAAAGTAACATCAGTGATCACTTCTGATCATTTGTGACACGCCTAATTTTATGCCCCTTTTAACGCAACGACATTGCACAGATTATCATGCAACGTTTTAAAACTGCCACGTTTCTACTGATACAATGAATGTTTCGACGTTCTCAATGGCGACGACTGTCTTTCTTTCAGGAATCTGTTATGAAAAATCAATCAGGCATTCGCGAACCAAATATGGGCAGACTAGAAATGATCAGTGTAAATGACCTTGAATATGATCCAACGGCACCTCCTCTCGGAACTGGTGCGTTTGGCGTGGTTTACTGTGGTGTGTGGCGTTTGTCTAAAGCTGCTCTTCTGAAACATGGCTGTCACGGGCCGCAGCAATTTGCCGTGGCTATTAAAGTGATTCAGAATGATTTTCCAATAAGCCCTGGTTTTTCTGCCCCATCATCTCCCGTTGGAAACGGACGCACCTTGGATCCTGAAGAAGAAGCCCGGAGAGCGGCCGCACGAACAGCTATTGAAGAACTGCTTCAAGAGGCAAAGGTCTGTGCACACCACAAACCCATATTCTTCTGCCATTGTATTTGTTTCATTAGGCAGTGTCACAGTTTGTACTGAACTACGGAAGGATCAGTCAATCGATTTGGATGCAGACAGTTCCGTTTGAATGCTTGAAAGAATACAAATCAAGTTTGTTGCTCTTAACTTACACACGTAGAGCGATCCTGCATTCCCTTCTTTGTTTGCTCGTCGTGCGGGAGTTTACCTACAGAGGATAAGTGTAACTACCGACAGTTTGCCTCAGCTATTGATGGAATTGCCTCTAAGGCCTATGTGATTTTAAAAGAATACATACGGGAGGGGAATAAAAGATTGCACTTTGAACATATGTTCGTTCTTGCTCGTTAACCATCTGCATTCAGAACTAAACTGGAGCGTTGAATAATGAATTTTAAAGTGTGCAAGAGAGGTAGACAGAAAGACGGCTGGTTTCACTTATAATGAGCCAGGCCCATTCCGTATTTGTGTTGCACGGTAAGCAACGATACATAGTGAATCGTTTCCGATGACCTTTTTCTGACCAGAACGCCCAGGTTATGATGTTCTCACCCTACATTGAAGTTGTCGCAAGATGGTATACAAGTTTTTCATCTATTCAGATGTTTATTTATACTAAATTATCCGTTTTTGCACTCGAACTTACAAGGCACGTTCACTACGCTGTTTCTACCATTGTGTTGAAAAAATAGCCAATTCATGGTCTCTGTTTGAGGTGTGATTCAAACTGGCTGTTATTTTTACCCGTAATCTGACTGACTACAGACAAATCTAGGTTGTTTTGGACAGGATCTCAACGTTTACTGTTCTGAAAGCTTTCCATAATCTCATATAATAATAATAATAATAACTTTCATTTAATTCCGGTTTATTTGTCAGTGTTCATCCATAGGATAATCTGCTCAAATGAGTTTCGGCAAGAAGCGGGAGGTAGAAACAAATCTGACACGGAACTCTAAAAGGTAGTTGGGAGTTCAGAAGCGCAATCTGTTGCGACCCAATCTATACAGTATCCTATATTCAGTATAACGCAGTTGACTAGGGGGACACACTTCCTATTGTCGCACGGATAATAAGCGCCCTGCCTGGTACAGTATTGATTCTCTGGAGTACTTGATGAATTTTTATCAGTAGGCTATCCAACCAGTGACATGGTTAATTCTGGCCAGTGGTGGGATTTGTATAGTTTGGTTCCTCATAGCCCTCTTTTCAAAAATCCAGCCCCATGATACCAAGACCCCATAGTTAGTTGTGCATCAAGGGGAACATTCGCGACAGAGCCCGGACTTTTCCAAAATGGCCACTTTTTATACAAAGCTTTCTGGTGTGTTAGTTGGCCTTTATGAAGAAAAAATCAGTTAGCTATTCCACTTCCTGAAAATAAACCATCCTTAGTTGCTAGTGTTGAATAACTCACTACTTTGTAACCTGTTGTCCTCTGTTAGGTAATGGCCTCAGTAGAACATCGACACTGTCTGCCCCTCATTGGCGTGTGCTTGACAAGAGAAAGGCATTGTCTAGTTTCAATGTTTTTGGAACTCGGAAGCCTCGATCGATATGTAAAAGACCATCGGGCGGAGCTAAACAGCCTCACCCTTCTTTCGTGGGCTGAACAAATTGCTGATGGAATGAGTTACCTGGAAATGCGAGGAATCATTCATCGGTACGTCCAACTTTTGCCATAATTATGTTTTATGAGATGTCGACAAGTTCCCATTAATATCCTGTCGTGACTCACATTACGAATTCGCATGCAGTTCGCTTTTGAATTCCAGTGGAAGGAAAACTGGGCAAGGTAGCGCTCATTTTTACTGTTCTTGTTGATGTCATTGGGTAGTTTTTAGCAAGACACTTTACAGAATAGGAAGTTTAATGGTCATCCTACGAGGAAGCAATAATTAGACGGAATGTCACCAGTAGGTGGGATTTTTCACAAGCTTGCCCTTCAAGGGTGGGTACTGCCACGTTTCTCGTGGAACGACGGCAATTACTACTGGTTGCTTCACGACAAAGCAGTAGCTTGGTTGAATTTTTAAGACAGTGGACCCTTCAAATGCGCATTCAGTGACTCGGTCAACCCGTCCAGCAAATTTTGAGCTTTTATTTCTTTCCTGTTCATGAGACATCTCTCAGGTTCCTAGTGGTCAACCAAATGGTGAAAATATTTCCGCCGATATCTTGTAAGCATAACCGATGCATCCTTCAGATTCCTCACCTGGATTAGTGAGCGTCAATAGGAGCATTCAGTAGCACTCACGCAACATAACTACAACTTTGCACAGGACCCATGAGTTCACAATCGTCCGATGTTAACCAATGATCGAAGTGATCAGTTGTGGAACACACTATTGATGATAAGCTACAAATTTCGGATGTTTATAAGAACACGCAAACAATTCTGCAGTCTTGGGAATGAAGATAACTCAGGAAAGAATGGTGTCCTTCAATCATTTCCAGAGCATCATCCAGCATCTCCGTCTTGATATCTCACTGACGTTTCAAAAGATACATCAGCATGGTGTGTACACTTCCATAAAATCTAATATTGCGCGCGGGGTATGGAGTCAGTGCCTGAACTAGACAAGTGGATTCGCATTGCAACCGTACAGCGGCACAGTGATTTCATGATTGACAGTATTTAACGCTATAACGCTTGCTACTACCGTATCGCGTTATCAAAAGTCCCATCTCAGCAACCATTGCTTAATCGCAGTGGACACAGTTTACTGCAGAACGAAAAGTCATGGAAACTTAGTTCGTATGCTCTGAAAGCTTGGTTATTTCAGTGGCTATAGCACACTTTATTTAACGATACGATCAGGATGCAATCAGCCTTTGGAAACTAGAGGGCAGAAATATTTCTGAATGCTTAGTTACAGCCAGATTGATACTGTTGACGGAATTCACATGAAACATTCGTCGCTGTCAATCATTTTCTAAAAGCTGTCTATGAAAGGGGTGTAATTAGCCGGTCTCACCTCTTGTAGGTCAGCGTACAACATACAGCGGAATCGTAGTTGCCTGTTTATCTTATTTCTTCCTGTTTTTGGAAATCTCGTGTACCCGACTATCGTTTGGTGATATTAATTCTCCTCTAGGACAGTCAACGAGGATTTTCTGTACGATATCATTTAAACACTTTCTCCTTTACCCGTAACTTACTATGTGGATGTTCAAAATACTAATATTAGCCTCCATAAAACCATGATGGACACGCCGTAAAGTGGCCGGTACAAACTACTTAATCGGATATTTCTACCTTACAAGAGAGAATTACCTTAATTTAGACTGACCTTTATCAGAAGGGTCGACCCCAACAAAAGCTTGAACGTCTACTGTTAATGAGGCACGATCAGCTGCCTCTGAATTATTTAATTCCTGGTTCGTCAATTCACAATGAATCCTTGAAAGCCAACTTTTCGATTATCATCCAGTGCAGTAGGACCATTGCGAGCGTACCAATGGCAGCAGGGGAATTCAGACAGCCCCGAATATGATTTTTGTGGGACCTGCCCATACAACTGTAGTCGGAGCTGAAAGGACGTAAACAGCATATCCGATTATGTTGATTACCATATGGTGTTGTTTCAAAGCACCTTCAGTATTCGGATCAAGCAGCAAACGGTGAAGATAACTAACTCGGAGAGGTAAGATTTCACAGTGAGAAAGTACGTGTCATCCGGACACATTGTAATTACGGATTTCTCGGAGACTTATTTCTGAGCACTCAGTACACCAGTGTGGAGCAACAGGAAGCTCGCTCTGACGTCATAGGTGTGAACACCGATTTCATGCTAAAATAGTTGGCAATAGCTCCTCCACCAAAATACTTGATACATGCAAATTAATTTCGCCATTCGTGTGACAAACTCTATGAAAAGTCTCACTTGGGGGCACGCAAATGTATCTTTTAAGGAAACGTGTTATCCGCTCACGGTTTGCAATGATTCTTAGGTCGTTTATCCGACTAAACTAAGTCATTCGGAAAATCCAGTTCTATTGTACCTTGAAGCAGTCTGCCCAAGACGGCTGACGAATGTGAAGCGAGCATTAAAAAAACAATCAAACAAAAATATTGCTGTCTTTGTTATAATTTTCACTAGGCCTGCCGTAAATAAAATGACGGAGTTTTCACCTTCCTAGTAAATACGGACTGAAGGCGTGCATTTCCGTTGAATTCCGTGCGAAATTTCCCATCTCACCGAATAGGATACCATGAACTCTCGATAAAAGCTCGAAACCGTAGCATTGAAATTCTCCTGGTAAGCATACGCGCGGTTATGAAATCTGAAGAATGGTGCAGTGGATGCGGAGCTTAATTACCCGTTACGCCCCTCATTGTGTCTTGCAGAGACTGACCCATATGCAGGCCTGACTTAACAGAGGATTTGACAACAAAAATGGTACATATAAATGATATAAGCCACCTGTGACTCTCCATTGGCTCATGTTTAATGAGCCACTTTCAAAATATATGAAATGATTTACTGTAGTTAGTGGTCATCCGGTTATCGGTTACGATAACTCTCTGCCGAAAATTAAAAATAGACAACATCGGACGTGGGGACCGAGGAAAAACGAATCAAAACAATTCGTCCCATCTCCAAAGTGGATATTTTGAATTCTCTGTGAATTACGTTCCAAAACACTGAAAACGACTCTAATCTAACGCTGTGCTTACTAAGCGTTTTAGCCAGTCAGACAGCCTCGTCCGACTTACGAAATCACCACCAGGTTTCCATTTACATTACGGGAGGGAAAACCTCCATTTCTAAAATGCCTTATGTAATCTATTTAAAGCCCCGAAGAATGACTACTAGATAAAGCCTTTCACCTGGTGGTCTCCAGTTCATCCATCTTTACCGGGAACTATCAGCATTCCGAGTCTCACAAAATTCCAGAGAGTTTCGAGCCCATGACTTCCTAGTTTGTAGTTTGAACACTTAGTCGTTCGGCCACCAGCGTTTGAGTAGCATGTAATTAACACATGCGTGGCTGAACGGTTAAGTGTTCACACTATTAGCCGGGAGGTTAATGGTTCGAATCTCCGTGGCGTATCGTGAGATACGCGCTGCTGAGGGTTAAACAGATTTGTGTGGCTTCTCGGCTTTTCAACACAGATTGGATTCAGTTACAAGACGAAATCTGAATTGGGAATGACTGAATCTACTCAAACTCCCAACAATGCGCACTGTTATTTCAAAGGATCAAACGTGAACCGTATTAACATTCCGCTGGGAAAGTGCTACAAATGAAAGTTTATCTTGTCTGGTCCCTGTAAAACAATCCCGATGCAAGCCCCGGTTTCAGTTAAATATTATCTGTAACGACACTGTCTCAAAACTTCACTACAAACTTGAACAGCTGTTGCCAGCTTCTTTCGTTCTGATAGTCTACAGCAGAATCTTTAGGGTAATACCATGACGTGCCACCCATTCTCCACCAAACCCTACTCCCTCATATACTACCTGCTCATTTGTCATATTTTGTAATCCAATGCAACCAACACTTAAGTGGTTTAATTTCTCCCTTTAATAACGGAACATTGGTTAAGTGTTGAGTTCCCAAGCAAGTTTGCTCCGGATCAAGAGTATTTCGTGAACTCGGGGTGACTCTAACAGCTTCTCAATGCTTTAATGAAGGAATGTGTGTCACTGGTGACCTTGAGAATTGCGAGAACGAAAATGTTGTTCTAAGTGTAACCTAATTTACTACTCACATAGTGTGTGAAGGTTTGGTGCTATTGAAGCAGAAATCCACTGATCAGGCCAAAATAGATTACATCTCAGCAGCTACCCAAGCAGAGGCCCATTCGTAGTATATTCCTTTAGATAAGAAAACCGTCGCGTTTATAGGAAAGTGTGATGGTTTTGTATGGTACAAGATGTCTCCAGAAGAAACTACCAGAATGAACGTGAAATTTCCACATTATTTTGTGTTCTTGGATGTCCTGAATAGGGGACCAAGTTGAAAAATTGAGATTAACGCACACAGCCCTTTTCACTGTTCACAGTTCCCAGCATATGTAATGTTAGGCCGTTTGTTTTACTACGAAGGGTTTATGGATGACTGATTAATCAATGTGTTGTGCGAAGCGCTCATGTGAAATCAGATTGAAGTGTTGTGTTACACCGTCAAAGAGGTTAAATATTAATTCAGGCAAATGCAAATGGCGCATTTCAGTTTGGGGTTAGAGAATGATGCTGAATCCATTTCTGGTGTTTTTTTCTTCAGGCCAGAGTATGTTTTGTGTAATGATTCTGTCGGTGCCACTAGTCGTCCAGTATGTGAGCTGCGTGATCCTCATGGCGCCTGGTTGGAGTTGCTGCAGCGTATGGCTGCAGCTTCTATCAACTTTGCCTAAATGGATTTTTGGTGGTGGTAGGCTGTGAGTAAATCTCTTGTCCTTCAACTCGCATTATTTTCTTCATAATAACGCCTCAAAATAAATCCTGGTTGTACAGCTGCAAAGTATTCTTTTTGAACACTGGTGTTGCGACGTACCTGATGATGATGGTTCTATATCGCATGCGTTAGAAATCAAATTCATAATTCATTAATTTCCGCTACACCATTCGAAATCACGTAAACTTTATGGAAAATGCTGATGATATATGTATACCTTCTCAGGTATTTCTTCATAGATATACGTTTTCTCACTTCAGTGGTAGCTTCAGTAGTAGGAAGCATCCATCGACCGTGACTCAATTATGAACTCATTATCCAGAGAAATCATCCAGCCACACGTTCTCCCATCATCCGTAATCGGCCATGAAGCCGCAAATTTAAAGTTCGTCATCGAGTCGTTTATTTACGGTAAACATTGAAATCGCCACATGCTGGCCTAGAGTAGATGGAAGCGCCTTATTGTGCTTGGGTAAACTCCGCATCAAATAGTTGCTGTAAATAAGAATAAAAACCTCAGTAAGAGCTTTCGGAGCAAGCGGACGTGTACGCGCTACGTGACTAGTTCTATGGCGTCCAATTGACAGGTCACTGGGATCTAATCACTTCATTTACGGATATGGGATATGTTTTCTAGGATTATCAGGACTCTGCGCGTCATTATACATTAGTTGTCAAAACGAGAACAGTTGATGTGATGGACACTGCATCTAGCAACTAATCACTGATCTATTTGTTTCAGCTGGTCTGGAAGATCGCATAAGGTGATTGAATGAACATAGTCTTTTATTGATGGCGTTCCCTCCAGAAACATTTGGGATAAATACACGTCAAAGAAGTAACAAAATTTGTTCCAGTTTGAGTTCCTTGCTAAATGTTTGAAATATAAAAGGGAGATTAAATTTAACAGTAAAGGCCGGAAGGAAATACACGAATTCATTTAGTTTGTTGTCTGGTTGCCAGTAAATGCATCAAGCATCTGGTCACCCATTTGTTTTATGAACATTTTTCCTCCTCTGAGGGGCTGAGTGTCAGTTCACAGGTGACACGTGTTCAGACTTTCGTTCCTCAAGGCTTCGTTTTTGTTACAAACCAACAAGACATCCTCAGGAAACAGAACACAGGAATATTTATCCAGCTTTTTCTTCAGATGCCACTTTCAACTCATCATTCACCGCATAGTATCCAGTAGAGAAGGAGTGCGACGTCAAAAACTTGCAAGTCGTGATAGCCAGCATGTGTTCAGTGTGTATTGATCAAGCGTCTGTTGTTATGTTCGACGTGCTCGTCCATTAGCGTTCAAAAGTTTCGTCATCGAAAAGAGACATTGTGACCACGCACTGGTGATGTCTGGAAGCATTTGGAAGCCTGTTGTCAAGCTCGGGGAACATATCAGCAACCTTCTGACAAACAAGCAAAATGACTTTTGCCTGATGACGACAAACTTTGAATTTCAACTAAGAAGTTAATAAAGTAACAGACTTCCCGCTTCATTGAGGTGCATATCTAAGTTCCGTGGAAAACGAACAGTGAATTTTAGGAGCACTTATGGAGCTGTATAAGGAAAACTATGGTCAAACTATTCTTGGCATTTTTGGGTACATAATGTATCATAAAAGCCACTTGGTAAGTCGAGACGGTTTTGCCAGAGATCTGGTCCATCGGCTAGTAGGACAAGTAATGGCTAAACTAGCCGAGGTTGCTTGTCGGGGAGGATATAATGGGGTTCCTGGAATTCGGGTCATTTCTTAAGCTGTCGGCATCTGGGAAGTTGCTCAGCATACTTGGAAATGATCACAAAAGCAAAATCAAACACATAGGGATGGATTTGGGGAACCGATGTTCCGCTTACCTGATGAATTCTTTGTCGAACAGCCTACCGGGCACACGTCTCCCTCACATTTATTCACTTGTTTTTCACCACTGATTTGCCGCAGTATCATGAAGATTACCAGCCTGTGAATATAAGCGCCACTAATACCTCCCCCCTGTATGACTTCCGCAACGGTTCAACTGTCAATGTAAATTTTAAGAAGCATCCGATTCTTTGACATATAAGTACAATTACACGTAGTGTGAAACCGATGATACACCAGGAGATGGACTCGACCCTTCGCCCCCTTGCTTATAAGATGCTTAATTTGCCGGCTGGTTTACCAAGGATGCTTGTTTACCCTTAAATCTATGCATCGGGAACTCCCAGGTATCTTTCGGAGCACTTTTTCTGGATTGCATTTCGTGAATACTGACTTGATAATCCAGGATTACGAGATATAGTTTGGAGCACTGCATAATCACAAGGGGTACGTCATCCTGACGCTTTCTGATAGGGTGTTTACTTATCGCTGATCTTACTCCGCTTAGTGCTTGGACAATTTTCTCCCCTATACTAACCGTCCTGGCACCATGGAATTATTTACAAAATTGTTCGAATGTTCTAACCACATGTTACACGCACTGCAATCAGTTAAATGAACGACAATCATGTGATACCTACATGTATTTTTTCAGTGATTTAGCAGCACGTAATGTACTCGTACAACGGCGTGATTTGGTGCAAATTACCGACTTCGGCTTGGCCAAAATGCTGGAAGGTAGAGATGAAGACAGTGTTGTTGTGCGAGCGGGTCGTGTTCCCATTCGTTGGTTGGCAATTGAAACACTGCAAGATAGCATCTACTCCCACAAGACGGATGTTTGGTCATACGGTAAATGCCCATGTTATTGCATATTTCTATACCAGGATGTATAAATAATTTGATCTAGATGGATGTCGTGTGAATTTTTTGAGAGCATGTACTGCTTGGTTCTGTACCAGTTGAACTCGAGAGATTCATAAAAGTGCTATAAATCCACCCCGTTTTCCAGCATATCTCACCTGAATTTCGGACCAGGATGTACACCTGTTTTCCCCTTTGAGGGCAGTCAGCTTAAAATTTAACGTCAATGGATTTCTGGGGTTCGAAGTTATAATGAATTCATTATCTTAAATTCATACTCATTTGACTGAGTTAGTTATCAATGTATGAAGCACAGAACGCACGGGAAACAGCTTCCAACGAAATCACTTCCACAAACGAATACTCCGATTTGGTCACGCCGCTTTTTAAGCTGATTATAAAAGATCAGAAAAGATATGGTAGGAATGACTAAAACTGGCCGTTGTATTCGATTGAATTCAATACAAGGTCAGACGGATGGTGATGACGCCGTCAAAGGTCAGACAGGATGTAACCATGCAGACTACCAAATACGTGCGTGAAACATTTCCTCCAGACAAGTGTGAACACTTCGTAGCCTTCCTACCGTAAACGACACGAATAAGTTCGTCCACGACAAAACCAAACCATGTTGATCTCCATGTTGATCTATGAAATGAGTCGTTAAAATATGTAACAACCCAAATGTTATAATTACATACCATGATTTCATGTGAATCGTAAATACCAGCCAGGTAGGGCTATCTTTTTACCTATGATCGGCATGCCACCATCTGGTTTCAACTCTTTTGCAGAATAGCATTTAGGAATGCCTGAGCCCTCTCACGTATTCTTATCAGAACACTTCGTAATAGATAGATATTCTGAATGAGTGACATGAACTCCTCGGACAAGGTGACACCCTCGTTTGTTGTGGAACCCTTTCCATGAATCTACCTTTGATTGATACTGTCACTTCTATCTGTAGTCATCTGATCAACAGCTGACCTCATATCAGTGTACTGGATTTGAAACCTAGAAGATTTATTTTGAAATACCCCTTAGTGTCCTTGTCTTCAAAGATGTACACAAATTCCCATGCGAATTGATTTCGGGATTCCCTCTGTCGCTAAGATGACACGTTCATTTTATAGAAATCCGTATGAACCTTCTACTTATTCATGATTGTATTTCGTAAGTGAAGCTTGAAAGAAAAATCATCTATCCATTCTAAACGCCACGTAGTGTCGTGATATATTCAGAAGGCTGAACAAGAATGTATGGGCAAACGCTACTTGGGTAGACGCAGTACAGTTGCCACCAAATTCGTTTTATTAGGCTGCAAAAGCGAATTGCAAACCTTGTCAGAAAATCTTGATATCTTTAGTGTGAAGATTCAGTTAACAAATTGATTGATAAAAATGCATGTCCAGTTCTTTTTGGTCTCCTTGTCCAGGATTATCTTGCCAGCAGAAATTACTTTTATTCTCTACCATAGAACTAGTTACAGCCAACAGGTTGATGGTTTGGAAGCAAAATACATCCTCTTACCTCATCCAATAAGCAAGACTGAGATCGTCCGCTAGACAACCGTTTACAAGTAAACCTGATTCACGTTCCTAAGAACACAACCAAGCCTTTACTCAACCAGGTTGATGAAGCTATTTGAGCCCCGACTACGAGGAAACGCCATAAAACTTATCAGCAGGCGAATTCTCGAGTATCCAGATCAAAGCGGTATTCAATGAAACCACCAACTCGCTCAGTACTTAATGAGTATATAAATAGGCTTCCCATGGGAGGCTGAAGGTGTTGCGAGACGAGTTGCGAAGCCAGAATTGCGAAAATAGTTCAATCCTTCCTCCAGTCGTTTGTATGATGACCTTTTTCTAACAGTAAATGACTGCTCATTGCATTTTTCACTCACTCACTCTGTTCGACTCTGTGTCGCGATCCTCAGTTCCTTGTCTCTTTGCAAGCCACCTTTGTCTTTAGTGACTTCACTTCAACCAGGTTATGTTTTAGTTATTAATTCTAATTCAGTCTTGACTGAACCTCAAAAGCCACTTTAATCACTTATGTAAGTTTCTGATTTCTCAGGGTGCTTTTTATGAAAAGGAGTCTTTCTGAATTCAGTGTAATTAGCCGTGACACAGTACTACTTACTAGTGCTCTAGAAGATTTTGGAAAATCTGACGTGTAACAACCGTCGTTGTTTGTTTATCCTTCAGTCTTGTCATCTTATTGTTCAACATGACTGGATTTCAAAAGCAGTACACTTTTGGTGAAGTAACTCTGCTCACTGGATCCTTGTTTCACTTCCTCTGGTGATGTCTCTGATGACTCCCTTCTTACTCCTAACATCTTATTCTCCTATTCACGCATCATAGGAAATATGTTTGGCCCATCTAATCCTGTCGTTCCTACCGCCTGTTTTGCCTCGAGGCACCCTGTTCTCTCGGTTGCATTCGTCGAAAAACAAACGGCGTTTTTCTGACTTCCGTTGCATTTTGCATACCATAAGTATGTATCCTTATGATTCCTCGCGAACCGCGAGCACGCAATTTTGGAACAACTATGGAAGAATCCGTCATGAAGTTGGCCATTTTGGTTAATTTACAGCTCTAATTTCATCCGACTTCATCGACGCGACATTCCCGCTGTGAGCAGAGTCACTTGTCCCCTAAATGCTTGAAAGCATTCCCACCAGATGACCTGCTTGGTGGCTGTAGAAAACTTCATATTGGCTGCATGAACAACAGCCATTTAATAATGTTTAGTTTTATACTTAGAGGCTCGGCTTTGATTTTGATATTCCAGCTACCTGTTATCCAACTCAGGATGGATTACTTAGTATCTCTCACCCACAGGACACCCTCTGAATTACAATCCATGTTTACTTCCGGTCAAAGAAGACTGAGACGTAAATCTTTGCAGCTCATTTCCACATATCCTGCATCCCAAATTCAAGTGCCCTGTTCAAAGTTAGTTACGATGAGAGATGAGGTTTCTCCCGGCATTTTTGCTTTGAACAAAAATACTGAGATGACCATCCTAGCGGAATTTAAAACAATGATTCGTTAATGGAGCCAGAGGGGCGCACCTCGGAAATGAAACTGCTGGTTTCCTCAGAATATCTATCAACAAAGGGGGTCTCGAAAATAGGGGTAACCGAGTATGGTCCAAAAACAAACTTTATAGTAATATCCACCTCTCAGCCAAGACATAGAGCAGACAGATTTTCTGCTGACAAAGTATGGCGCTGTCAAGCTTGAAGGTTAACCAAGCACTCCCGTGAGCCAGATGCATGTCCGAAAGCTTCCGTCTTGTAATGTGCCGTCAGTACGGTCCGTGGTCGAAGAATACTCCGAACTGCTTGCGGGCGATGAAGATTCGTTTGGCTTCTGTCCGTGAATTGAACAAGAAATTCCCCTCTTGTCGTATGATTTCGACCTTATGGTCCCCGTCCGCTGCCGCTCCATCTACGGGAGGAGGTCCATAAACAAATTCAAGAGATGTTAAAAAATGGCATAATTGAGGAAACCAATAGTGCGTACAACACCCCGGTTGTGTATGTCAGGAAGGCAAACGGAAAATATAGGTTTTGTGTGGAGTTCTGGCGTTTGAATCAACTGATCGTAAATCGGGTTGTAACTGTCCTCTCGTTTGCGGAGATTTTCGATTTCCTCTAGCATTCCCGATACTTCACGATGTTCGATTTGCGTTCCGGATACTGGCAACCCTCTATCATGGCGGACACAACCGGAAGAAAACGGCGTTCGTGGTCAGGGACACGCAATATCAATTTAGACGGATACCGTTTGGACTGTCTGGGGCACCGTTCACATTCTGGTGCTTGACTCTTCGTCAAAAGAAGGGACTCCGGAATGTTGACATATGTGGGGACGATATTGTTGTGCACAGCAATTCGGAACCAGAGCACGCAATTCACTTGAAAGCCGCATCGAAGCGTACCTGGGAGGCTGATCTACGGATAACTGAAGCTAAGACACAGATCGTTCAGTGTTCGGTGACACCGCTGGGGTAAAAAGTGGGTCACATGGAGTTCAGACCACAGCCATAGAAATTGGCAAATATCGAGGATTGTGCCATTTCCAAATCAAAGCGATCCCTAAGGCAGTTTCTCGGACGGGCAGCCGGTTTTTTAAGGTTTCAACACGATTCCTGCTTCACTCTACGACTTGCTCGGGCAAAATCAGACATTCGAATGGACCAGGGAAGCACGTGAAGCTTTCGAACTTTCCAAATGGCGGATGCTGGATCAGCAACTGATTCTCAAACTGTCCAGGGTCGGAGAGATGTTCACTGTTGCAACGGACGCTACTGGTCGCGGCATCGGCGCAGTCCTAAAGCAGAGGAATAGAGTTATCGGATATTCCATTCGCGTCCTGACAAACGCCGAGCGGAAATACTCGATCATTGAGAAGGAATGTTTAGCGATTGTTCGGGCCCTGGATAAGTGAAGGCCATATCTGCTTAGACAAAGATTTCACGTCGAAACCGATCACGAACCCCTATTGTGGATCAGGATCACCACAGATCCTCGTGGAAACTCGCGCGCTGGGTACTCCGGTTGCAAGAGCACGACTTCACCATCCAGCACGTACCAGGGAAGGAGAACCACTTGGCTGATTAGCTGTCAAGACCTGAGGCTGAAGATGAGGCTACAAGGATCATGATTAGGACCAATAGGCTCGTCGTCAAACTGGATTCCGGAAGGTTGGTGCAACTCCAACGGTAGGATCCTGTGTTACGGAAGACTGCAACCGCCTTGTTGGATGGAAGGAGCATTGAGAACGGAGAGGGATACAAGGAATCGGAAACGTTCCAGAAACGTTTCATCGGCTGAGTCTGATTGAACCTGGCATAATTTCCTTGTCACCACCGATTCGGATGTTGTGCTGCCCGTGATACCTCGCGTCTTGAGACGGAAGCTTATCGTCGAATGCCATGAGATGTCACATACAGGGTGCACCAAGACGTACGACTTTCTTCGGCAGAGAGCCTACTGGCCAGGGACGAGAAGTGAGGTGATGGATCATGTGGTTTCCTGTAAGCGGTGCCAACTGATGAAGGGAACACGATTGGGACAACTCACTCCACGGGATCTATTTCCGTCTCAGAAATCGGCAATTTATGGTCCGTCGACGTCATAGGTTCCTTTCCGGTGACGACCAGCGAAAATCAATATATCGCGATAATGAGAGAAACCCTGTCGTGGTGGATCGAGGCGGCAGCCGTGCCTAATCAACGGGCGAAAACGATCAGCGGAGTGGCAATGCATCGCATCGTGGCCAACCATGGGGTGCCAAAAATTATCCTAACCGCTCAGGGCCTTGCTTTGAAACCGAAAAGTTTAGAACTTTCTTACAGAAGTTGGGTACCATACGGCTAAGGACGGCACCATGCCACCCGCGCACAAATAGTTTTACCGAACGATCAAGGAGTGGCTGACAGCCAAAGGAGGTGACTGAGAAGTGAAACCGTCGATGATGTTGCTAGCTCACAGTACTTCCATACATTCAACCATAAGCAAGTCTCGTTTTGCTGATGCCTGATCGACTTCCGCAACTTCTGATTGACAGGAAATTGGGCTGTGGCTGGCAACAATCTTATCTCCTGAAGAGCTAGAAGAAGAAAGGATGGAAGCTTGAGAAAAATTGTGCGCCGTTAAGGAAAGGACTGAAGATAAAACAGCAAGTTGAATGGAGCGAACATTCCACATATGTGCGGAGGTCAAGTGGGAGGATCATCAGAAACATGGAAAGAGTAGACTGGGGTCGCGAAGGCTGGGCAGTCGATGGCAAGGGCCGTTTGTCGTTACCGACCGCCGGGGGAGCGTCTATACAATTCAAGACGGTCGGAGATCAAAAACAGTAAATGGGACTCAGCTTAGTAAGTGGCACAGTACACCCGAGGAGCGGCCGAACAGACCAGCTGCTGGAGCTAACCTAACGGAAGTAAATGTAAATCGGTGGCGTGCGAACCACCACTGAGGGGTAACGGCGGATACTGCCGATAAGGAATGTGATTAGTATGAGGTTTTCTCATAACTCCGCTTCGCGTCTATTGAATAGTGAGATTTATTACGTGTGATTTGTTTACATTTAAGTGATAGTCATTGGGTATCCAGAAAAGTTCACGAAGACGCGTTTGAAAAGAAGACAGATATTCAGTTTCTATAAACAGGATGCATATGAGAGTTTTGTTTCCCTCTCCAATGGTCTGTAGCTGTTCAGTTGGTGTTTTCCAATAAATAACCAGGAAAAGAAGGTTTTCTTTCTTTCACTAATACTGCTAGTATTAATAACATTAGTAGTGCCTTTGCACACAAACCGTTTTTCACATGGAAGACAGATTCTAAATTTAATGCGTCTGTCAATTCTACTCACAGACCCACACTACCTAGCTAGATATCCTGCCCGTTTCAACTAATTATTGGGGCCGAGCGCCTTAACAATTAAGCTTATTCTGCATGCCATTTATACCTAGTTTACTAGATCCGTTCTCTCCCATTTTATTGTCTGCCGAGGTTACCTATGATCTTGAAATGGGTCTTGTACTCTGACGTGTGTTGAAGTATGCAAGCTAACCGAACAAGTAAAACGCCAAATTTTCTTTCGAATCATCCATTCATCGAGAAAGGCCACTTCAGTGATGATGCATGGGGTTCCGTTCGTTGACCATTACCTCTGATCATTTTCCGTATAATTCCGTAATGTGTTTCTTCATGTCTAACATCATCCAAACGGATTTAGAACAATTAATAACTACTAAGTGCATTCTTAGATCTGGACTTAATTATTATGGGGACCACAGATGAACGACAGATTACAAGGCACACCGTACATGCGAGAGATTCGTTTGGTAAATATATAACAATTTGACTAATGACTAATTAATGGTGCTACACCAAAATATGCATAAAGACCAGTTCTTTCAACCATGCTGGCCGTTAGTAAGAATGAATCCTGCCGTCCAAATCGATTTACTTCTCACCGATGGACGCGTAGGCCTGGACTCAGCAGCTACACGCACGATTGTTTGAATGCCATTCGATGAAACGGAACGTGACTGAGCTTTTCCAGACACACCGGTTTTTCATTACAGTTTGAACCAAACGTTCAGTTATTTGGGGGAACGAATGAGACTCTCTAGAACTTCAACTCTCCACGAAACTGGATCAACATGACTTCTTTCCGACAAAAGCCCGTACGGGAAGTGTTGTATAGCGAAAAGATAGGTAGTCTTCATCTGCAAACTGGATTCCTCTCCAACGTTTGAACCAATAACATCGTAAACACTTGGTTCCCTTACAGGAATAAGCTCAGCTTATATCCAGTGCAACTTTTGCCACGGATCTGCTTCTGTAAAGAAATGCTTTGTTTTCTACTAATGATAGTGTTGGGGTTAATACAACCTACAAAAGGAATGCCACTAACTGGCGTAAATTCAACACAGTACAGTCCACGGAATGTTTTGGCTAATGTAAGTTAGCTATGCTACCATTTTGTCGCACTTACAGCGGCTTATGTGTATTCTCCCACTATCCCGCTTCTACGTGACGTTCGGTCGTTACAGCTATCTGCTACATGACGCCGATCGCTGTTCGATTCTCATCAAGTACACACAGATGGTTTTTTTGCCCAACTACATCTGATTTATTCATTGATATAGGATCTTCCGCAGGTTTTGCGATTTGCTGCTGCAGTCTATGCCGGTGTATCTGTCCAAATTTCCGATGCCAAACGGTGTTGTAAAAATAGTGTGGTCCGTTGTAGACGTTTTTTACCCGATTACCGAAATTTTCTACTAGAAGATGAGAACGTAATGGCAGAAATTAATCGGACACCCGAAGACTATCATCCTTACCGACCACTGGGCAGCAAGCATGCCATTTACTTTTATTCCAGCTAGAATGGCTTGTTTTCAGAACGGTTCGGCGACCAATTATATGTGGCACGCTGCAGATAAAGCTAATAGGGTTTGTGTTCCTGGACGCAATACTGGAGGAATAATTCACAAGAGACCCAGACGATCGTTGTGACGACCTCAGTCCCCCGACATTACAATTTCCACCATATCCGAAATATCTGTTTTGACTAAGCCACAAGGGTGTCCAGTCTGCCCAGGAACTTATGCATGAATCTGCAACTGACAACCAGCAAAGCCTCTCATGTGAATCATTTTGAACCCTGATCGAATTCGTTTATGTGTCGAAAAGAACAGCCCAAAATTAGTTCACGATTAAACTTCGAGACTGTGTCCCATCACTCACCAGAAAATGTTGATCAGATTTCCGCTTACTGCCATTTAGCACCAGTATAGACGAAATAAAATTACAGGCAAATCAGAAGAGCATATGTTGTGGTTTTCGATTAGATTAGTTGGATGGTTCGAGCAGCGGGCTCACCAGGTGTTACCCTGAACTAAGTATAAGTGGACGTGCTGCACTTTTTATGGATATCAAAAGTCAGTATAATTTAACGCCATCGAGAACCTGAGTGTTGCCGCGTTTCTGGCAAAATTTTGCTGTAAGATGATGCTCGTTTCCTTGTGAGCTATAAAAATGTTCTGTTTGAAAACCTTGGGTTGGTTCACATGCCCAGAATACTTCCGAGCTTTTTTCCCATTCTGTGCAATCATTATTTCATGGTTGATCACTGTCGAGGACTTTGCTGGTTGAATTTTGTCCATCTAAAAAAATGAACCCTTCCCAGGTAAAAATATTCGTGGAATGTCTCCCACCGAGGCAAAGATAATAACCACACTGTAAATATTTACAGAAGCGGGGAACAAAAAATAACATGTCAGATGTTTGATGGGCAAAAGGTATCCGAATTTAAAGTTAAGATAGACGTGAGTTAGTGTTCAGAAAATTTTAACTGAGTCAAAGTCCGACCAGTGGGTACGGTCTTCACTGTAGTGAACATGACAGTATGGAGAACATAAAGGGCTGCAGAAAGTCATGCGAGATTACATCCGTCTCCTTGGCACAAAAATGAGGTTGGAGTCCGTGATACAGTAAGAAATCCCGGGTTCTGTAATGTGCCTAAAAATCCCCGCGTACTCTAATCTCTGCCTACTATACAACGGATAACACGTGATTTCCATGTAGTCTACAAAGAAATCTCGAAGTCAAATTATCTCGAAAGCCGGATATATTTTATGCTGATACAATATTATGTATATTGGTATACTGATATTGATATTGATATATTATTTCGTAGCTTTAGATTAGCTGAAGTCATAAGATTTTGTATCTGCAACAGGACTGACCTTATAGCGTAGCACTGAGGTTCCAGCTCCTTAATCAGTAAAGTTTACACACAATGAAAGAATTCATCTAAGAAATGATGGCTTTACCCAACGGTACCCATAGACTATTGATCTTCAGTAGCAGAGCTATCCGGCATCCTGAGGGTACTCTGAATCCAATGGCTGGAGATGCCTAACTAGATGATTAGACGCCCCGGAGCTGGAGGTGATGCCACTTCGACTGGCGATGAAAAGTTTGCAACCAAATTGCCAGGCTCACCGAACAACCTTACGATCTTTTGGGGATTTTCGGGATGGGTATGTTTGTTCATAGCCACACCACTCTCGTCTGAACGGCCGTGTTCCTGTTCTGGCGTAATTAATCCGATGAGTCCACACCAAAGGGAAGCACTGGACTCGAGTTTCGCTCTTATTAGAGCTCATCAGCAGTGTATATCCAATGGCCGTGCCGGGATTTGAACCCCGGACATCTGACATGCGAGGGGAGCGTGTAACCACTACTCCACCGACGCACGTTGTACGCATCTGAATTATCACGGACGAGAACGTAAAGTTGAGCAAACTACGTTTTTTGTTTCCACTCAAGCACTTTTCGGAACAAACATAAAATGTTGATTTAAAACTCATTTCTATGTCAAGAAGTGTTGACAATTACAAGCTATTTTACACCTTTCCACGCTCCAGGTGTCACACTATGGGAAATCTTCACCTTTGGTCGCCGCCCTTACGAAGAAGTGGAGACGAAGGATATCAAAGACCACGTAATGAAAGGAGGTCGTCTGACGCAGCCCGATATTTGTACACTGGATGTATATATGGTCATGGTTCGATGTAAGTATACCTGGATAGTACACTTGAGAAGCTAAATCCGTGTTGCCCTCAGCAACTCAAATTACAATTTTCCCCGAACTTCCATCCGAGCATATTTTTCACATTTTGTTCAGTCCTATATATAT